CCCCCCTTCTACAATTACTTTCTGCTTATTGCCTTACCCTTCGGGACTAACAAACGTATTCTGAATAAATGTAATGCAACATAAATGAAGGTAATTGAATCTAAATGACAGTATTTGAAGATAATTATATTTAATTAAAGATAATTAAATGTTATTTCAGATGTGACATAGTATTGTAAATGAATGTATTTGAGGGTAATTGAACGTAAATGAATGATGTTGAATGTAGCTGGATCTTTTTTAACGTAGTTGAACATAATCTGCATAAAGGTGATGCAACATAAATAAAGGTATTTGAAGGTAATTGAATGTTATCTCAGATGCGATATAGTATTGTAAATGGACGTATTATGAAGGTAATTGAACGTAAATGAATTAAATTGAACATAATTGAATCCTATTTAAGGTAGTTGAACGTAATCAGAATAACGAAATGCAATATAAATGAAGACACATGAAGCTAAATAAAGGTAATCGAACTTAACTGAAGTTAATTGAAAGTTAATTCAAATGTGACATAGTATTGTAAATACATGTATCTGGAGGTAATAGAACGTAAATGAATTAAGTTGAATGTAATTGAATCCTTTTCAACGTGGTTCAATGTAATCCTGAATAAAGGTAATGTGACATAAATGAAGGTAATTGAAGCTAAATGAAGGTATTTGAAGGTAACTGAACTTAATTGAGTTAATTAAATGCTATATCATATGTGACATAGTATTGTAAATGAATGTATTTGAAGGTAATGAATGTAAATGAATTATATGGAACATAAGTGAATCCTATTTAAGGTAGTCGAACGTATTTTGAATAAAAGTAAGGCAACATAAATTTAGGTGGGGGTTGTGGCGGGAGGTCTTAGAGGTGGTGGGATGGTAGGGGGTAGGGTCAGTGGTTTAGGTGGAGGTGTGGGGGTTGAGTGGTTGTGAGCAAGTGCATATGTGAACTCGTGTGATTCACATATGAACTATTTAACTGAGTCACATATGAACATGTGTGATTCATATATGAACTAATTAACTAATTAACATATGAACTATAGGTTCACATATGCGCTTGTTTGCTGCCTATTTGTAAAAGTTGTGAAACTACCCATTTATTTTTTTCGTTTGACCACTCAAAACCACAAATCTTGACAAATCAAAGCCGCAATATTTAACCTGTCAAAGCCAAAATTCTTGACCGATCTTGACTGTATGAGGGGATAATATCACTTTTTTACTTCTCACATGTGAATTACACGGATTCACATATGAACATATAGTTCATATGTGAATCACATAGGTTTACATATGGACCCATTTGTCGCTTATTTGTAAAAGTTACAAAATTATCTCCTCTATTTTTAGCATAGCCACAAATTTTGACCAGTCAAAACCATAATTCTTAATCATTCAAATCCGATCTTGATCGTATGAAGGGCTATGATCACTTCTTTACTTCTCAAATATTTATCACTTCTCAAAATAACTTATGGCTATATATGTGTGTGTGTGTGTGTGTGTGTGTAGTGGTAAGATCTTTTGTTAACCAAGAATATGGTGTTAACTTTGTGAAATTATTGGACCAATAAGATTCATTCTTTAGTAGATGTTACTTCAAAATTTTGATTTAATGATGAAGAGTAAATAGGTAATTTCTATGTGTAAGTTACTTTTATGATATTTAATGAGATGTTACAAATTTTTATATGTAAGTTACTTTTATGGTATTTTAATGATATTGATAGGTGTTTATAAGAATGTGTTCATAACCATAAGGTATTCATAAGAATGTGCTTATATGTGTTTATAAAAATGTGTTCATAACCATAATACGTTCATAAGATTGTGTTCAAAACCATATGGTGTTCATAGGTGTTCAAGATCTTTTGTTAATCATATGGTGTTCATAACCATATGGTGTTCATAGGTGTTTATAGACCAATCAAAAGGCCTTTATACTTAATGTTCATATCTCTCTATGCTGCTAATGTTGAGGGTATGTTAGAAATTTTTCTTTTTTGTCTTGATTAAAACATATTTAATTGACAGTTACAAAAAGATTCATGTTCCATGATTTTAGCTTGTTGATATTCAACTTAATTCATTTACTTTCAATTACCTTCAAATACTTTCATTAGGAGTTACAAAAAAAATACTCATATACCCTTAACATTAAATTTTTAGATAGTGACTAAGATGGATTGTGATTGGTCTAAAAGGTTTATAAAGTTAACACAATAATTTGGGTTAACATTTGAACTAAGCGCTCTCTCTATCTATCTCTCTCTCTCTCTCTCTCTCTCTCTATATATATATATATATAATCGAATTTGTCAAAAGTATAAGAAACGTTATGAATAAAAAGTTTTAGAGGTTGTTTGTTTACCTCTTAATAGTTCCATTAAGAGACAGTCTCTAAATCATTAAGAAGTTAATCTTATTTAACGAAAAAAAATGTCTTTTAATGGTTCTAAAACCCTCTGAAAGATTTTGAATTTTGGACATTTCTTAACCATTCAACACTCTAATTTCATTGTAAATAATTATGAAATAATTATATTTCATTTTGCATTATATCATGAAAGTCTCTTAATCATTCTGACTACTTAATCATTCTGCACCAAACCATTCAGCAACTGCCAAACAACCCCTTAGATACTATAGTTACAAAAAAAGGTCTTATTCAACTAAATATAAAATAAGTCTAATTTCATATTCGTCAACACTCATCAAAACGGTTATAAGTTCAAAATTTAATGGCAATATGAACGTATCAATAACTTCTTTGTTTATATACAATTGGTGTTTTTTTTTAAATTGCAAATTCGAATATATACAACTAAGGACCAACAAAACCAAATATAGGCCGGCAAGACCAAATCAGGAACTATTAGACAAATAAAATCAAAATTGCATCTGTTCGGTTCTTGATTCTAGATCTTTCTAAATTGATTTCATTTTTTGTTTTTCAAAAAATCACTTTCCAGTTTAGTCTGGTTTGATTCAAATTGGAATAGAAGCGACTTTTTTATTTTTATTTTTATTTTTCAAACTTATTATTTTTAATATCAAAAAACTAAACATGCATTTGGTTCACAATCAGGTTTATTAATGAACTGTCAAAACGTAAACCCTGAACTGGTATGAACCGGTTACATTTCTGTTCCATCATTTTTGTCTTTTCGGTTTCGATTCTATCCGGTTTGGTCCAATCTGGTTCTAATCCAATCAACACCCTTGGTGGTTTCAACTCCAATTGAAACCTCAAAGTTTTGGCAAATTGAAAGTTGTCAAAAGTATAGGGGTGGTAATGTAATTAAAGTAAACCTCAAGGGAGGTAATTGTAATAATTCAATAAGTGCTCTCTTACTTTGCTTTCAACTTGACCATTTTACAGCTTGCAAGTTGCAAGTGGACAAAAGGTGCGGTGGATTATATGATTTTTATTTACTTTTTAATTTCACGAATATTTAATAAAAGTATCAAATTTCATTTATCTGATTAACTAAAGAATTACATACTTTATCTAAATTATAATTTTAAAATCTGTTTTATTTTTATATTTTCAAGCATTTTTATGTATTAATACATAGGTATTTTGTTTTACATGTGCATATGCATTATCTTTTATATATAGAGAGAGATGAGACGTTTCAAATGCAACCAATCATATTTGTATAATCAATGTAACTCAATCAATTAAGATATTGATGGAAATAATGAGAGTTTATTTATTATGATTTGAATATTTATAAAAGATGATTAGGGTTCATTAATTATGATCAATACTTTATATTATGAAACAATCAAAAATTTAATGAAATCACATATTCATCAAATTAAATGAACGATTGAGATTGAGTTATATTGGTTGTATAAATGTAAAGAGTTGTATAATAATTCATCTATATATATATATATATGTATGTGTGTGTGTGTATATATATATATATATATATGAAACTTCAAACAAGAACACTATCTATTTAATAGAACAAGAAAAAAAAGTATAGAAAATCACATGTAATTTTACATTAATGGCGAAAAAATGAAAGCGAACGACTTTTGCCGCGACTTAAGTAGCAGACAAAGTCGCGCCGAATCATGTATGATTTTATACATATACATATATATATATATATATATATATATGTATGTATGTATATATTACGTGATTCATATATGGTTTTGTGAAGGTGAGTTATTATGCAATTCTATACATTTGTATAATTCAATCTTAACCGTCCATTTAATTTGGTGAATATGTGATTTCATAAAAGTTTTGATTGTTTCATAATATAAAGTATTACTCATAATTAATGAACTCTAGTCATCTTTCATAAATATTCAAATCATAATAAATGAACTCTCATCATTTCCATAAATATCTCAATTAATTAAGTTGCATTGGTTGTATAAATGTGATTGATTGCATTTGAAACGTCCTCTATATATATATATATATGTGTGTATAATATTTTTATATACGACAAATCTGACATATTTTCTTAATTTAAATGATCTTTTGACCTTTAATAACGTTTCTAATGAATTCTCTATAATTTCTTTAAATTAAATAATTAAAAATCAAATTTAAAAAGAATTATATTTAATTCTAACAGTTTAACATTTAT